TATCACTAGCTATGAAAAAATCTGTTGAGCCTTCATCTGTTATTACTCTTATTTTACGATCTTGATATAATTATTTAATAAAAGTAATTAGATTTTCTGAATGTTTGATTCTTCTCATAGAAAGCTCCAAAGCATAAATGCTAACTGAATCAAAAGCATTTCACATATCCTGAAATGCTATCCATAGCTCTTTGTCTTTTTAAATTGCATCTTTAATAATATTATTTAAGACATATATTAGTGCTATGATGCTTTCGTTAGGTAGACCTGCAAAATTTGCTCCTTTTAAGATTTGTCTTTTAACGAGAACTTTACTTAGTCTTTTTTGAACAATTCTAACTACAAGTAATTCATGAAATATTACAAAAACTTAAGATATCCGAATACTATATAGAAGACTATATTAGGGCATTTACAAATCTCCATATTACTAAACAAGTACCTTTAGAGTTAATAACTTAAGATACTCTCGCACCTTTTGAAGCTAATAACAACAGACATAAATATACTCTACTTCTCTACTATAATATAATTACAGCAATATACAAAAAATTCTGAATTCCCTCCAGACAAATACCACATGAACTAGCCTTTCCTCCCCTTCTTCTCTTCAACTTTCAATTTTAACTAAGACTAAACTGATTACTCAATTTTTGATACAAGAAAAAATATACAAATACATAACTTCTAGATCTTTATTGCTTAACAATTTAATCAAAGACTAGAGGTTTAACAACTATTCTAGCAAAGAATAAGTCAAGAGTAAAGTAGCTCTTATTCCCATCTCCCAATAGTGATAGTTTTTTTTTCTACTATGTTTTAAAATATGTATAATTAACTATTAAATAAAAGAGATAAAGAATAGACCTCTCTTTAAAAAAAAAATAAAAAATAAAAAATAAACAACCTAATAACAAACTCTTTTGCTATATAAGTTCAATATTAGCCTTTATCTTTTAAAATAGAATTACTCATAATATTATTAGCAATTAGCATACTTCTAAGAATTACAAAATTGATATTTATACTAATTTATAATCTGTAATATACAAATATCAAAAACTCACTCAAACAACTATAAACCTTTTATATGCTTATTTATGCAACAACTAGCTGATTTGGTACTCAATACTTAATTTTATCTAATCTTACAAACTTATTATTAAACTTCATAAAGTATTAGCTTATAATAATAATGACTTCAATAAAGCTACTAATATACTTATACAAACTCATCAAACTTTACTATTTCTTGAATTCAAACATATTAATTTATATAATTCTAACTTTTCTATTATATAGAAAACTTTAATATAGAATAATCTACTCATAATTTATCAAAACAATATGCAATACCTATATCATTGCAATATAGTTATTACAAAACTATAACCAAATATAGGCTCATCTATATAGCTAAGTTGACTAGAACTCAACATGGTTATATCTTAATAATAACAACAAATGATTATACAAATTTACTAACTTCAAGCTTAGTAAACTCAAAACTTTTCATATTAAACTCCTATATAATAAACTGTCTATGCTATCACATATACAAAAATACTACTCAAATATTATACTAAACAATAAATACTTTAAATGCAAATAAATAGAATTAGAACTCTACTGAATCACAAATCATAATAACAATACTCTATGAAAAATTACTTTATAATTAGTAATTGAAATTCTTAAAGCTACAAACTTAGAAATTACTCAAGCTTAACTCAATTTATTACAAAATTCTATTATTTATTACCCTTTATTTCAACTATCTACAAACTCTTTTAATACTATTAATCTATATATATTACTTAAAAGGCATATACTACATATACTTACTCAAATAATCTGACTATATACTAACTTATCTCAAACTGTTTTATAGCTAACTATTAAGTTATTTCTTAAACTTAATTAAAAAATTTATGAACAAATATGGCTACTTTATTGTTTAGAATATGCAAACTGGAAATAACAACATAATATCTACATATCATACTCAAATAACTAACTAAACCAAAAAAATAATGAACAACTCAATCACAATTCTCAAGAACTGTATAACTCCTATAGTCTTTCTCTTTAATATAACCAAATTTTACTGACTAAACTTGCTATACAAAAGCTTTTAGCTTGGCTATTATATTGTATTAAATATAGCTTTTCTACAAATTTTATTTTCTCTAACTAAATCTAGGTGAGTCTTAACTATTCTAGTAAGTTTAGATTACAAATAATTTTAAATTAGCTTAGCTTTAGTATTACTTTAGCTTTAGTCATTTTATTATTATCTGAGCTTCAATTCTTGTATGTAATTTATTACCAAGTAGTTTTGTATAAACTTTTAACTATATCTTACTCAATAAAGATAGAGGCAAGACCTTATCTCAATCTATGAGTTGAAATTAAAAAAATAAATAATATTTATAAATAAAAATTTAAAATAATACAATTTTAATTATGCTATATCATTTTGAAATATTATTGTACTAAATTTAGTACAGTAGATTTTTACAAATATTTCATTAAATATATAAAATAATAAAATAAAAAATAAAAATAAATTGCTTATGATATATTCTTTATTTTCATATATTTATATATTTAGAAGATAATTACCAAAACAGGTTTTATATATACCTTTGAATTATTACAAATACAATAATATCTTGTTTATATACTACATAATTTATAATAAAGCTACAAATAAACTATTTTACCTGCTTTATTTTTTCACTTTAAATAGTATATAGCTGATATTATAACTTTAACTATGATTATATTCTAATTTTTAATAATAAACTTTCAGTTACAAAGTGATATTTTTGAATTATCTTATATTTAACTAGAATTTAAAATTAAAATATAAAGTATTTTGTGCTTGTTTATTCTATTTTTTAAAAGTAAAAAAAGTATTTGTTTCTGTAATATCTAGTAAAAAGCAAATATATGTATTTTCCAATTTGTCTTTTATATAATATCATAAAAAGAAAGTATTGTAATATATATCTAATATAATTAATAACTTAATGATAAAATATCCCGTAGTGCCTAACTACACTATTAAAATTTTAGGTACATATCAGCTTTTTGTTAATTTTGGCTGACTAATAATAACATTTTCACTAGAACACCTACTTTGGTTTATATCTATAAATGCGATATTTAAAATTTGATAAATTAATTAGTAAAAAAAATGGACGCAAAACTAATTATTGGTGTATTTTATACAATATCTTCAATTTATAATAAGCTGATTGGTCAGTTACAGATAATTAACCTTATTATAACTCAAAGCACAAATGTAAGAACGTGCTAGTTAGTTAGTATTTAATATAATTATTTCTTTAAATTATTTAATGTAATTATTTCTTTAAGATTATTTAATATAATCATTTCTTTAAGATTATTTAAACTAAAGATTACTATTATTTTTCGCCATTCTAAAATATTTTGTCATCCTAAAATATTTATGACATCCTAAGATATATAAATAATTTTTGCAACCTGAATTATTTCAGCCATTATAAATTATTTACGATTTAGACTATCTAAAATAATTCTCGCTTTTTTAATTTTCACCATAAGCAAAATAATCACAACTAAGGATGGGCAAAGTAATTTATTAAGTAATCAATACGTATTTTTTATAGTTTAACTAATAATAAGTAATGTTACTAATGTTAAGCAAATTCTTGTTTATTAGTATCACATGATGATAACGGTAAGAAATGTTTAATTAAAGCTGAGATTAAATAAACATGTAAATTTTTGTCATTAAAAATATAATTATCGTAGAATAGCTTATTATTAATGTTCAAAAAATTAGATAATATTAAATAATATTAAATAAAAATACATAAAAAATTGCTCATCTCTAATTACAACCCCTATCTATAATCATCCACTACTTTTTTTTTGGTCTTCCGTTCCTGGTTCTGTGCGATGACGTCGCGCAACTATCTAATTGATAAAACTATTGTTTTTTATTATTGATCTAATTAGTCAATATGAAGCACAAAATTCGACCAATCAGATCACATGCACAAATAACTGTAAAGCGTAAACACTCGGTGCCGAAATTATGGTCACTTCGTGTTTTAATAACTGTATTATCTGGCATTTATATTTATTAGATTTAGCGTTACAACCATTGTTCAGCGTTGAAATTTATAAAATATTACAGTTGTTATCATAAATTCTGTGATAACTATCGTTTCTGAAATTCTATCATTTCTGTTTTCGGACCGAAGTTCCAAGATAACGACGTATTTCCAAAGAGTTGATAATTATTGGGATGAAACCGAAGTGAATTTGGTTAACGAACAAAATTTTTCGTTTGAGAACAGTTACAAATGTCTAATAACAGTGGGTACTGGAAAAATCAGATAAATAGAAATGTTTGATAAAACTTTTTATTGGTATCATACCTTCAATATTAATGCAGCATTCTATACATGCTTATTCCTTAAATTTCTTATTTGTAACAGGTAACTTTAAAATAATGTACTGTATATTACGTATTTTGTAATCAATTTTTCCATCAACAAAAATTCGGAAATACGTACGTGGAATACAGTAATGTACCACATTTTCCGTTTAAGGATAAAAAACAAAAAATGCATTTAATGCAAATAATTTATTAGATAAATTACTGATAATACGTGTACTCCTATATATCAATATATATTCCTATCTTAACATTTCTTTTTACTCGAACTTCAATATATATTCCTATCTTAACACCTCTTTTTACTCGAACTTAAAGTGCATTTTTTCACTCCTATACATTACATTGATCAATTCATTCAACATCGCTAAATATGAAGGCATTCATATTAATTATTTTCAATACACTTTTTGTAATTTTTTTGGCAATTAAAGGTACAATTTAAAAAGAATTCATTGTTGAAAAAGATGTAATTTATTATATGTCAATAAATTAACAATCGTATGTTTTCAAATTAGTCAATAGTACGCCGTTAGATTATTATATGACCAGCGAACCATTTGGTAGTCTTGGTCCTGATGGTAAACTTCAAGTTGGTACATTTGACGGTGATCTAATAACTTGCACTTGGGTGGATGAATTTTTATCTATAGAGTTTTACATCACTTTGTCTTTAAGTAGTGCTTCTCATCAATCTCAGAAAACTGCAAGTACATATCTTAAAGTAGGACAAAAACACATGGCTGTAATTCAGAAAATGTATGATACGATTGTTTATGGCTTTAGGTATGATAGTAGAGCTAGTTTTACCTATCTTTATTTTCCAATTGATTCATTGGTTGACTATGGACCCAGTGATTATTAGATATTCGAATTTTTTTTAATAATAAACTAGAACATGATTATGTAGGTGGCTTCGACGCCTTGAATTAATAGTAAAATAGTTATATTAGTCAACTAATTTGCACTTACATTATAAATCTTTTTAATTACTAAAAATTGAATCAAAGTAAAAATGAGTACTGCAAAACAAAACCTACAATATTTATAATTTTCACTTAGCCTTTGTTAGAATTGTGGTATTACATAATTAATTACTATATTATCAGTATTCGATCTTTTCGATAATACATATTAAATTGGTGATTAATATGTAATATCAAAATCTAACAGGGGCTAAGTTCACTAAAATCTAATATAATTATTACAGATTTTTGCTTTGTAGCATAGTGAACATTATTGTGATTTGAGAAACTTGTCAACGAAGTGACGCAGTGATCATTATTGCGATATCAGGGGACTTTAGGAGCATCCTTTTATGTTTTAATGGTTTTATTTAGTATCTTGTTAATCCAAGATTAGTACCGGGATGACATATGAATATTTTAATTTTGCCCTATAAGAAAAGTGTCTGGGAATTTCTTAGGAACTGCTACGTGTGATCAGGAATTTAATGGGAATGTTTCAGAACTGCTCAGGCACTTGGTCAATTGCATAAGGAACTGATTCGAACTCCAAAAATCATCGAAAAATATCAGTGCCAATTTAAGAAACTATTTCTAAAAATATTTGGAATTTTTGAAGCATGGGAATGCTTTCAAAATGAATCAGGAACTCTTTTGAGAATTCTGTAAAAATTTCGAATACATTAGTGCATTCAGAATTCTTACAGAATTTTTAAAAAAGAATTCCTGATTCTTTTTGAAAGCATTCCTATGCTTCAAAATTTGTATATTTTTAGAAATAAATTGCAATTTAAGGAATTATTGCAGAATTTTGAAGCATAGGAATACTTTCAAAAAGAATTGAGAATTCTTTTTTTGAAAATTCCATATGAATTCTGAATGCATTAATGTATTCAGAATTTTTAAATTCTGTATACTTTTAAATAAAGTAAACAAACCTGTGACATTAGTTTCAATAGTAATTCTATAAAAATTCTTTTGATTTGTTTATAATATTATAATATTTAAGTTCATAAACAAAAAGATTTAAATATTTATTTTTTAATTTTTTTAGCTTTTATTTTTATTTTTTTCTATTTTATTTTTATATTTTTTTTCTTACATTTTTTTTTCTTTTTTTTTAGAATAATTTTTTTCAATATTCTCTTCTAATATTCTCTTTCAATATTTTATAGTAATTTTTTTAGAAGTTTCAACAGTATTTTTCTTGACATTTTTATCAAAGTTTTATAGTATTTTTCTTTATGATTTTCTTTAATGTTTTTTGATATTTTTTCTTCAATGTTTTATAGCATTTTCTTTAATTTTTTTGATGTTTTAGTAACATTTTTATTGATGTTTTATAGTGGTTTTTTTGATATTTTATAGCAGGTTTTTTTGATATTTTATAATAGGTTTCATTGACATTTTATAGCAGATTTTACTAATGTTTTATAGCAGTTTTTTGATGTTTTTTTATGTTTTATAAACTTTTTTCAATATTTAATAATGATTTTTTATAGAATTTTCTTTGGTAGTTGAATTTTTTTAATTTCATTATATAATAATGATTTGAAAAAAATTTTTATTATATTTTTTATAAGTTTATTAATAAATATAATATATTTTTTTTAATATAATTTCATATAATTTAATTTTATTATCAAAATTTATTATATAATTATTATAGAATTATTTATAAATATAATAAAATTTATTATAAAATTATTGGTCATCTCATTAAGCATGATATATCAACTTGATCTATTTAAATTAAAATATAATTATACAAGATTTTATATATTAACTTACAATTAAATAAATATATTTAATATTTGAAGATTTGTAAAATTATTTATAAAAAAAATTAAATTGATTTTTAACACAGCTTGGTGCCTTTCATTAGTAGCAACACCAACTTACTTAGCGGCTAACTAGATTAGGAGGATTTAATTATATATTATTTAAAAAAATCTCAAAGTTAGTTAATTTTTAAAAAAAAAATTAGAAAATTGAAATTTTTTAATATATTTCTAAATTAACTAATCAAAATTAAGTATTTTTTTGTATTACTATGCAAGTATCTTGGTATAACATCAATGTATAAATTTGCAAAATTTCTAGTATGATTATTATGTAAAAAAAAAAAGTTATAATAAAAAGAAAATTACATATTTAAATTTGTTTACTATATAAAAAATTAGTAATTTTATATAGTAAAATTAATAATACTTATATATAAAAAAGTTAGTAATTATAGTGATATCAACTTTTTCCATAGATCACTTATACCAAAAATTCTTAAAAACATTTTGCTATAACTCAATATTTTATTAAGTAAACAACCTCTAAACCATTAAGCAAAATTGTTCTACACAAAATTTTGCTTTAGGGCAGCCTAGTTTTTTGCTTCTTGGATTCTAACTTTTAAAGCTATCTTGCTTAAACGATTAAACTGTTTCTAGCGATTTACTCAATAAACTTTTCGGAATCAACAAATCGTGGAGATGAATTATTACAAATTTCCAATATGATAAAGAATGTAATTGAAAATCATCAAAAGACCTATGAAAATATATTTAATGATCTTAAAAATAGAACTACTAATTCAAATGCTCAATGTCTTCTTGAATTTTTTTATTTTAATAGAATTGGAACTGTAAAACAACTTAATACAGCATTCGAAAAATTTAACGATGTTGCTAATAAAAATAATGATATAGGAAAATTTTACCTTGGAGAGTGTTTTAGATGTGGCTATGGAACTAAAAAAGATCCAAAAAGTGCTATAAAGTGGCATGAAGAAGCAAGAATAGAATGTGCAAGATCCACTGATGTCATAGGACTTTGTCATTTGAATGGAAAGGGGGTTAAAAAGGATGAACAAATGGCATTTGACTACTTTAATGAATCATTCGAAAATGGATGCAAGTTTGCTTGCAATAATTTAGGGAATTGTTATGAACTTGGAATAATAGTAGAGAGAGATAGAAATAAAGCATTCGAATATTATAAAATTGCGGCTGATTGTAATATTCCATTGGGGCAATACAATGTTGCAAGATGTTATAAAAATGGTATAGGGACGACAAAAAACTTATATTTGGCAAAATTTTGGTATAAAAAAACAGCAGATAATGGGCATAAGAATGCAAAAAGTCAATTCAATCTTTTATCTAATCTTTTATCAAGCCAAAAAAGAAGGTTTCTCAATTTTTTAAGGTAATTATAAGGTTACTAAAGAAAAATAATATCTACTATATTAAGTTCACTTAGGGATATTTCATTTAGGCCAACGGGATTCAGATTCTCAGTTTAGCGGGATAAAGGGATATTGAGGGAATTGTATGTATTATATGCAGTATATAGTTATATTCTTATGTAAGTACAGCAAAAAGAGGATATATTTCGGATTATGGGTCACATAAACTATAAATAACAAATAATTCTACTAATATACTATAATATTAAAAGACATTGATTGAAACATTAAATTACTTGGTTCGAGTAATTAGGGTTGGGTTTTTAAGTTCAGATTACACGTTTGTTACAGATTCAGTAATAGGTTTTTATTTATTCGAAGGAAAGATTATTAGATATCACAATTTTACTTTTTATCATTTGGACTTTTTCTAAATTAGCTTTATTTTATGCATATTTTGATATGTTATGTTGAAATAATAAAAATTCCAAGTACTCTTTTGGTTCTATCTATTACACTAAATCTTGTAATTATTAGAATTGCAAGAATTCCCTGAATTATAAGAATTCTTAGACTTTACTTTGTTGGAAAAATAGTTGAAGTGCAATTCATCAAAAAGGAAATGTAATAGCATAAGAGATACAAATTAATGATATCTACTATTTTTGTGCTTTTAATTTGATAGTACACATATGATCTGGATGACTTATTTATAGGCAATGTTTTAATGACTTCGGAATTCTTAATCTGTACATGCTATAAAATTTTTTATAAGCTTCATAACCATTGGTCGTTTTGTGTATCGAATACAGCACAGCTTAGCTAATTTCATATAGTAATAAAGCGTTATAGGAACAAAATCTAGTTGTTCTCTTTGAAAATACTTACTACTTGTCTAGCAACAGATTACACCCATCAAAAGATCTTTGTTAGGTTGATTTCATAGCCATAATATCACTAAGGTCATAAATATCAGTAGCTTGTGTAAATTTATTGCCTAATAAAAATTTAGGAACAACATATAACATGAAATATAAATATTGCCTTTGTAATGTTTTCGACTTTTTTTATAGACAATCCTAGACCTATAAAATAAGATTGCATACTTTAATTAATACATTAAACTGTAAACTAATTCTACTGTAAAAGTCAACATAATATATTTTACAAACTTATGAATTTTATCTAACTTTCCTTAAAACATTTTCTTAAAACATATTCAAGTAATTGTAATATAAAAATTTTTTCTTAAATATTTATAAAAAACTTCCATAAGTAGAGCTTGGATCCGTCGGATATTTGTTTAATATGAAAACGGATAACGAATCCAAGCCCTAATTATTAACATATTTTAACATTATCAAGTATTTATTTTTAAAGTATATTGAGTTACTCCATATATTGTAAACATTCAATAATTTAATTTGCATATGTATTTTAAACTTTATTAACTTAATTGAACAATTAGTAGAATTTTTTTCTTATTAATAATACTTAATCCTAAATTCTTATTTAAAATTAATTATTTAATACCTTTTCATTCGCATTAACTTGGTCTGTAAGTATAAATAAAATTTTTTATTAATATCAATTATAAATTTAAATAATATTAATACTTATCTTATTACAATTAGTTACCCTAATACTTTTCAAATAACTTATGCATAAGTATAATGATTATCTAATAATGTTATAATTAATGGAATTTAAATTATAATAACAAATTTATTAATTATATGTTTTATTTTTAAATATTTATTTGCAATTAATTATCTAATGCTCTTCTACCAGTTAATAGAATAAATTTCTATCGATTAATTCACAGAAAGACGATTGCATTATTAAAATTATGTTATAAATTTAAACAAGATAAAATATATAATTGGTTATAGGATATAGAGATGGGCAAAGTAAGTTACATATTCTTACCTAATATTACTTAATATTAATTAAGTTTTTTGGCATTAAGTAAT